CTCAAGAGACCAGCACCTGCAAGGACAGGTCCCCAGAGCCTGTGTCACTAGAGGGGGGTCTCAAGAGACCAGCACCTTCAAGGACAGGTCCCCAGAGCCGATGAGACTTTGGGTCGGGTCCCCAGAGCGGAGGTCACTGAAGTCCATGTCCCTCAAGTCCACATCCCCAGAGTGAAAGTCCCCAGAGTTGTGTCCCTCAAGCCCTGGTCCCCAAAGGCCCCATCCCCAGAGTGGAGGTCCTCAGAGCCCATGTCCCTCAGATGCTGATCCCCAGAATGGAGGTCCCCATATCCCACATTCTTCACGCCCAGGTCCCCACTGGGAGCTGAGAAGGGGCTGGGCAGCCCAGGACACCCCCAGGACATGCTGGAAGAGGGGACAGGACACAGAGGAGCTGTGACCAGCAGAGCCACCCCATCCAGCTGTGGCAAGTCCCCTGGGGACACAGCGTGTGCCACCAATCTCGATGGTGGCAGAGCTTGGGGGAGCTGGGGTTTGCCCCACTCCTTGGTGCCCCATGGCTGGAGGTAGCTGGAAATTGGGCAGTGGCCACATCCCAGCTGGACGCCACACTCAGGGGGGTCAAGGCTGCACCCAGCACCCACCTCAAGGACACAAACAACCCAAAGGTCTCTGGGAGCATGGCCCAGGCATTACTCACCAGCCACGGTGGCTGCTGGCAGGGCGGGGATGGGGCTGGCCTGGTCTCAGCAAACCACAGGGATTTGCCAGCAAATCCACATGGAGTCAGATCCCCATGGGTCACATGTGGAGGGGGGTCCGAGGGTCTGAGCTGCGGGACCCCCCCCAGCTGAAGGGGCTTTGGCTGGGGGCGTGCAGGAGGAGCAGCCAGCAGCCCCGTTCCCATGGCTTTCTGTGATCAGATTATTTCTGTTTTATAGAAATAGATAAAATACAAATACACCAAGAAAAAAAACTTTTTGAAAAGATAATCTATTATAAAATACAATAAGTTAGCAATAAATAAGAGGGTTGTAAAAATGAGTCTCTAAACTGAGCAGAGATGATGCTTGGACATGGAGTGGGCTGCGGCCACGCAGGGACAGATCCCCCCCTGGCCCTTTTGGGCTCTCTTGGGTGGGAAGGATTCACCTCTCAAATAAAATATGGGTTTAAAAAAGAGGAAAATAAGGGAAAAGAGGGAGCAATAAGTGTCTGTGGAGGAAGGTCCACAACTGGAGGCCTCTGGGCTGAGCCAGTGGAGTCAGGACGGGCGCGGATAGATTTGCGGATAGATCTTGTGCCACAGGGTCTGTTTTTGGGGATCCTGGTGGTGGTGGGTGCCCGTCCAAGCTGGAGGCGATGCCATCAGGCACAGTGGCACCGGGTGACCAACATGTCCTCGAAGAGGGTGGAGACCAGCCTGCCCTCACCGTCGTAGTGCATGAGCACCATGGGGTCGTAGGCGGCGGGGACGCAGCAGGGCGGGGGGGTGGCCCTGGAGAGGGAGTGCATGCGGGCTTTGATCTGGGCGTGCATGCTGGCCGGCTTGTAGTTGTGGGGACAGGAACCTTCACAGAACCTCATGTAGTAGCTGCTGGGGGCAATGACCCAGTCCGACCAGCCGATGTCCTGGAAGGAGACCTTGAGCGACTTGAGGCAGCACTTCCCATCGCTCTTCCCACACTCCTCCTCCAGCCCACGGGCTTTCCTGGCCCCTCGACCTGTGCTCTCGTGGGTTTCCACCTCCAGCACCAGCGTGTCGCCCCCCGTGGTGGCCAGCAGGGCTGAGATGTTGGCTGTGAAGGCCAG